CTTTGTATCTACCTCTCAAAAATATTCCTCTTAAGATTACCCCTTGTAGAAAGACCACCTCATTAAAGACAGCTAGTATTTAGCATATGGTGGAGGAGTGTGTTTTGTTGTTTGTGAAACTTGATCGTGCTTGGCTTGGCCTTGCTTGTAAATAGGAAAAGTTCTTCTGTGCCTGTGTGCAGCCAGATCTTTAAGGAAAGCAGGGGGAGATGGTGCACAGGAGCTGTGGCATCCAGCTGCAGAGTTCAGTGGAGATGTCTGATGTGAGGACAAGTGATGCAAATGCCAAGGGGCCAATGAGAGCAATGGTGGGGTTGGGGAGGTGAGGAGCAAGGTTGTCCATACGGTGTCAGACCTCAAGGAACTGCTTCTCCTGCTGATCCAGACCTCCTGAGGAGACACTCTGGATCATGATTATTTGGAGAATGCTCATATGACCTCTTCTCTAAAATTAAAAGTAATAAAATGCTCCCTTTAAAATAAAAAATAAATTTTAGCAGGTGCACTTTGAAGTCTACTGCCTTAACTACCCTATGAAACAGCTCCAATTAGCTATGCAAGTCTTGAAGAAAATTACAAAAAAGATAAATAGGTCATTAGGGCATTTGGGGCTCATTACATGAACCTCAGCTGCTGAGAGAAGACTGAACAAGCAGCTCAAGAAGTCCAAGTCAGAAGCAAAACCCAAAGTTCCTTGAAGCATTCATGGGCCCCACTGAGGGCAATCACTGACAAAGGCTCCCCATGGACTCATTAGAGCAGATAACTGGAAGCCATGCTTGCGGGGCAAAGGCCCTGAGCAGGTGCCTGTAATGCTGAGAAAAGCCTTGGCTTTGTTTGAGGAAGCAGAAAGGCCAAACTCTGAGGCCCTGGCAAGACAGAGCCTGAGACCCTCACATTAAAGGTTCATCTCGCGGGCCTTGGTGGCACAGGCAACTTCTATAGCCAAGGGGAAAGAGAATTTGACTGTGATGACCCTTGCAGCCCTGCCAGAGCCCTTGGCCATCTCCCCTGCAGGCTGCCTGACACTGTCCTTTCCTTTCAGGTTGTTGACATCTGTCTTGCTTTCCCACCTGGCTCTCACCCTGGCATTTCCATACCTTCACTGATTTCTCTTTACTCTCTCTGGCCATTCCTTGAAACACAAAGCCATGGGCTGATCCAGACTCCCTCTGGGTGACATCTTGCACCACAAAGCTACACTTTGATTGCAACTTCTTTTCCTCACTACACCTCCAGTCTGAACCTTCCAAGCTGCTCCTTTTTTCCAATGACCAAGAAAAGCTCCAGCATTTCTGAAACCACCCTTCAAGCAGTTGAAGGCTACTGCTAGAGTGCCGTGAGCCTCCACTTTACAAGGCTAAAGAAGCCCAGGTCCCTCAGACTCTCCACACAGGCCCCAACCACCATCCTGGCAGATCTCCCCTGGAACATCTCCAGTTCCTCCCCATTCCTCCAGACCAGCAGCCCTACAGCCAGACACATGAGTCCAGAGGTGGCCAGAGCAGTGCTGATACAAGGGGGATGAGAACTCCCTTCTCTGGGTGTCCATGCTCCAAGTAACACAGCCCTCTATGCAGCTGGCTTTATTCATGGTGAGTAGGGACCACTGGCTCCTATGGCATTCCTCTTTGTGCCCAGGCCCTTCTCCTCAGGGTCACTCCTGACATGGTCAGGTGCCAGCCTGCCCTCACATCTTGGGTTATTCCTATCCTCCAAAACCCACTTGCAACCTCTCCTTGTAAAACTTAATGACGTTTCTATTGCCAGATCCCAGAGTTTGTCCAGGTCCCTCTGGAGTGACACTCTGTGTGGGCAGCTGTTCCTGTGTGTACAGTTGGCCCACCAGATCTGTGGTGCCTCTGACAAGATAAGAGCATGAGGAATTGCAGGGCACTCCAGATAACTGCAAGAGGTAGTGGTTTAATGGAATTGCTGACAAAGGTAGGAATTCCCCTGGTGACAAGCTCAGAGACACCAAAGGAGACTACAAAGGAAGCCAAATTAAGGCCAGGGAGGAAAAAGTGAACAGAGATGGGCTGTTTGCATGAGATGGTACCAGGATGGTCAAGGGGAAGAAACTGTGAGCGGGAAAAGAGGTAAAAGGGAAGAATCAGCCAAGCAAAGGAAATAATTGGAGTCTTTTACGGGTAACTGCCAAGCAGCCCCACATCTGATCGGCGGGGCAGAGTCCAGTTGGATGCCGGTAGCTAGTGGAGTTCCCCAGGGCTCGGTACTCGGCCCAGTCTTGTTCAACTTGTTCATCAATGACCTGAACGAGGGGACGGAGTGTACCATCAGCAGGTTTGCTGATGACACAAAACTGGGAGGAGTGGCTGATACACTGGAAGGCTGCGCTGCCATTCAGCGGGACCTGGACAGACTGGAGAGCTGGGCGGAGAGGAACCTGATGAAGTTCAACAAGGGCAAGCGTCGAGTGCTGCACCTGGGGAGGTCAAACCCCATGCACCAATACAGGCTGGGGGCTGACCTGCTGGAAAGCAGCTCTGCTGAGAGGGACCTGGGAGTCCTGGTAGACGACAAGCTGACCATGAGCCAGCAATGTGCCCTTGTTGCCAAGAAGGCCAATGGTATCCTGGGGTGTATTAAGAGGAGTGTGGCCAGCAGGTCGAGGGAGGTTATCCTCCCCCTCTACTCTGCCCTGGTGAGACCCCACCTGGAGTACTGTGTCCAGTTCTGGGCTCCCCAGTTCAAGAAAGATGAGGAACTCCTAGAAAGAGTCCAGAGGAGAGCTACTAGGATGATAAAGGGACTGGAGCACCTCCCCTACGAGGAAAGGCTGAGAGAGTTGGGCTTGTTCAGCCTGAAGAAGAGAAGACTGAGAGGGGACCTTATCAACACATACAAATATCTTAAGGGCGGAAGTCAAGAGGACGGAAGCAGTCTGTTTGCAGTGGTGTCCAGCGACAGGACTAGGGGCAATGGATGCAAACTGAAACACGAGAGGTTTCAGTTGAATATGAGGAAAAACTTCTTTACTCTAAGGGTGACAGAGTACTGGAACAGGCTGCCCAGGGAGGTTGTGGAGTCTCCTTCTCTGGAGATATTCAAAGCCCGCCTGGATGAAGTCCTGTGCAGATTGCTCTAGGAGAGCCTGCTTTAGCAGGGGGGGATTTTTCCTCCCCTGTTTCAGCTGATGCCCATTGGCCCTCCTCCTCCCATCACATACAAGAGTGTTTTGGCTAGCTCCATTTTCTTGCTGATAGCCAAGAATATCTGGGAAGGGTGGAATTAGGTCTCCCCAAAGCCTTCCTGTTCCCCAGGCTTTGTACCTTTGCAACACAGGCAGACAATGGCATCCTGGGCTGCATCAGGAATAGCACTGCCGAAGGCTTGATGGAGGTGATTCTTCCTCTCTAGTCAGCCCTGCTGCAGATGGTCTTGCTGACTTCCCTCAGCGTTTTCTGCCCTACCACCTCACGTGCACTGCACCCAATGCTGCCCTCCTCATCTTCCACCAGTCCTGCCTTGTCTGCTTGTGAAAAACTGGTCAAGGAGAACCTCCAGCCATGGTGGCTCAGGGACCACCTTCCTCCTTCCCTCCAAACAAGGCCTTCTAGCAGAAGTCCATGCTCTCCAGAGTCCCCAGTGATTACCAGGGCCTGAAATTGTGTCTCTTCCTCCAGCTCTCTAGAGGACATCTCATCCTCTTCCCAACCTTCCTCAGGCAGATCAGTGATCCTCACCAGAAGACCATTGTCCATCAAGGAGTTAGTGAGCTATGTCATAGTAAATCTGAGTAAACCCAGGCCCCTGCTGTGCTGTGCTCCACGTACAGCTTGGCCTTCAGGCGGTGTTGTGCTGACCATATTCCTGGGTTGCAGGATAAACTTGATTGTCATGAGAAGTCTGCAGGAAGCTCCCACCTGGTACCGGTGATTAGGCCAACTGCATGTCCTTCCCTATATCAAAACCTGCCACAACAAATTCCCATGTGAACAGCCTCTTTTGGGGGGCAGTAGAAGTGATGACTTGAATTTTTTTTCCACATAAGAAGTTACCAAAAGTAATTGCAAGATCAAAATGGGATAAGCCTTCTACAGATGGGATCTGCAAGAAGTAACCTCACCGTGATCTTCAAAATGACATCCCTGCTGGATGATGTCCCAAACATGGAAACAGGCCATGTGGGGGACTGATCTGGGACAGTTTTCCCAATGCAGCTTTCTGGGAACATTCATGGAACATGAAATGAGTCTCTGACTTTTGCAATTTTGGTGCCTGCTGGCTGCTCGCACCCTGCACACTCTCACAGCTGAGCTCTACACTGGTGCTTTCCTCTCCCAGGACCTTCACAGCCCATCACAGCCCCACACAATCTCTCCCCACCTCCCCTGCCCTCTCCCAAGCCCAGCCCACCATATCAGCCCTGTCTGGGACAGTCCCACAGCAGTGCCTAGTGCAGGGTGCTGCAGACCACTGGCCACTCACTCCACAGCCCCAGACCCTCTAAAGGGACCAGTAGCTCTTGGGGGGCAGAGAAATGGTTTCAGACTCCCCATCAGCCCCAATGCTGTTAATGGCCCCAAGTGAACAAGGAAACTGAAGCCAGTCCCTCTCTGACTCTCCCAAATTCATATTGTAGGTAATGCCCAAACCTGACTGAATTTTCGCCCTCTTCTACTCCCACCAGCCCCACTCCCCATGACAGCACATATGTCCTGGCTGTAGGCCTCCCCAGGCAGCTCCCACATCTCTCCTGTCTCACCTCCATTTGCCTGCTGGGTCCACACTGATTCCCATGGCACTGCAGAGTCCTTCTTCATGGAGATACTGATTTAGTGCTTTATTTTTGGGTGACTTCACTTTTGAGGGTGATTAACCTTCTGAGTCTCCAGTCATTCCACCCCCAGGGCATGTGGGAAGTCCCCATCCTCTCCTCACCCCTCCAAATTCATTTCCATACAGTCTGGGCTACCAGGAAGAGAGCTTTTCCATGTAGAATATTTGGTCCAGTGGAACCCAATGGTACCACAAGCTTAACCCTAAAACATTGAGAGAACAGACTCTTTAGAAGACCATTTGCTTATACATTTTCGCAGAAGCAACTCTGGAGGAAGAGCCCACCCTTCAGACACTGGACCTGGGAGATGCCCTTTTATTGAAGAGCTGCTGTGTGAGAGGCCATATGTGACACAATGTTGTGCAAGGGTCAGACAGAACAGGATCAATCCTCGAGACAAGTAGTATAAGACCAGAAAATTACCTCTAAACAGGATTATCACAAGGGAAAAAAGGACACTTATGGATTAAGATAAACTCTGGGAAATGTGCAGAGAAGGGGAGGCAGGGTTAACAGCACCCATTGAGCCAGTTTCCACAGTGCAGTCTTGAGCTCCTTGTTCCTCATGCTGTAGATGAGGGGGTTCACTGCTGGAGGCACCACTGAGTACAGAAATGAAACCACAATGTCCAGAACTGGGGAGGAGATGGAGGGGGGCTTCAGGTAGGCAAACATGCCAGTGCTGACCAACAGAGAGACCACGGCCAGGTGAGGGAGGCACGTGGAAAAGGCTTTGTGTTGTCCCTGCTGAGAGGGGATCCTCAGCACAGCCCTGAAGATCTGCACATAGGACACCACAATGAAAAGAAAACACCCAAAGCCTAAACAGACACTGACCACAAGAAGCCAAACTTCCCTGATGTAGGTGTCTGAGCAGGAGAGCTTGAGGACCTTGGGGATTTCACAGAAGAACTGGTCCACAGCATTGCCTTGGCACAGGGGAAGTGAAAATGTATTGGCTGTGTGCAGCACAGCAGTGATGAACCCACTGCCCCAGGCAGCTGCTGCCATGTGGACACAAGCTCTGCTGTCCAGGAGGGTCCCGTAGTGCAGGGGTTTGCAGATGGCAATGTAGCGGTCATAGGCCATGATGGTGAGAAGAGAAATCTCTGCTCCAACCAAGAAGGCAAACAGAAAGACTTGGGCAGCGCATCCTGCATAGGAAATGGCCCTGGTGTCCCACAGAGAGTTGGCAATGACTTTAGGGACAGTGGTGGAGATGGATCCCAGGTCGAGGAGGGAGAGGTTGAGGAGGAAGAAGTACATGGGGGTGTGCAGGTGGTGGTCACAGGTTACGGCAGTGATGATGAGGCCGTTTCCCAGGAGGGCAGCCAGGTAGATGGCCAGGAAGAGCCAGAAGTGCAAGAGCTGCATCTCTCGTGTGTCTGCAAATGCCAGGAGGAGGAACTGGGTGATGGAGCTTTCTGGGTGTGGAAACTGCCGAAGGAGATAAAACCAGAAAAATTCAGAGAAGGTTTCCTGAGCAAAATTTAGTTCATTCATTGTGAAATATCTAAGGATGCTTTTCATCCCTGGGGGACTGTGATGCAGCTCCGAGGCCTCGGCCCTATTGCTGCACTATAGCGCAGTATAAAAAGCTCAGAAGGACGCTTTCTTCCACAGAGGAAGGTGGGAAGTCAAGTGAATGCAATGTGTCTCCTTAGACTGTGCTTCAGTATTCAGACACCCTGATCCCACTTGGGAAATGTTCTTGGGAAGGGTAAAATTCCTCTGTTTTCCCCATTGCTCTCAGTGCAAACCTCTGTCAGTGCTCACATGCAGGAGAGCTGCTCTGCCCATCAGCCTGGTGCCCAGATGTTCTGTGCTAAAGGTCCTGGAGGAGAGCTCTGCCCTTCTGGAGTGATGCTCACAGCCCCGCAGGACGCCCTGTCCAGCAGAACCAGGGCTCTTAAGGTGACGTCTGCTGAGGGAAGCAGCATCTCCTTGCCCAAGCACTGCCTGCAGTGTCTCAAGCCAGGAACATTAAGAGAGGGCTTGGGCCCCTTGGTGCCATGGAAACAGCTCCAGGGAAGCACCCTCCAGGTCCATGTCCAAGCAGGCACTCAAGCACCCCCAGCCCTTGATCCACACCACCACTCTTATTGCTGGGGAGGAGAAAGAAGAGCAGCACAACCAGGGGCAGAAACAAAGAAAAACTCACTGACTCTCCTGCTAAGGGCAGCAAGGAGAGGAGAGTTGGTCAGGCACTCAGGAAAGCCACCTTCTTGCCCAGCAGAGCCCAGCACCTCCCAGTCAGCAAAATGCCAGGGCAGTGGCTCTCAGCCCCTTTGCTCTGCAGGGGGAAGAGGCCACGTGTCAGGAGAGATGCACCTCTGCTGTGCTGGAGCTCTGGTTGCAGCAGAGGCAGCTCCTGCCCTGGAGCACACAGCCTGGAGGGCAGAGGCTGTGCTGGGTGGGTGACAAGAGCAGGGGTCTTGCTCCGAGGAAGGAATCTGCCGTGGAGGGGGTGACAGGGAGCTTTCCAAATTCTCCCTCCCATGACATTGATGGTTGGAGTTTCCTATAGCTCTCTGCCTGTGTGTCTGATGCCACAAACGGTTTCTTTGACTTCATTTTTTATCCCTCTCAGTGATCACAGAGCCCATCACCAGCTGCTGTCTGCTCAGCTCTGCCCTTAAGAAACCTCCCAGTTTCAGGCACTCTCCAGAGGTACTCCCCGCTTGCAGGCCATAAGGAGCAGTTCAGACAAAGCCTGATGAAGACAAAAAAGGTGGTCCTGGTGCTCTCTGTAGGTAGAGGAGTGGGTGGAAGCAGTTTACAGGGTTTCTACCACACCTACTGATCTCTCAGTGGAGCAGCTCAGGACTCCCAGTCTCCCTCTCCACAATTAGCAGCACCTTTTCCCTTTTCCCTGAAACAGCAGGAAACTGAAAGCACAGACCCAGGAAAGATCTTCACCTTCAGGGTAGTGCCTGCCTCTGGCAAAGTCCCCTCTGAAATGGCCTGGGCAGCTCTGGGTGCACACCCGGGCTTCAGCCCTTCTCACTTGTCTCACATGAGCCCCTGGGCTGGGAGCCCTCCTGACAGATCCTGGAGCCTGGAGGCCATGAGAGCTTCAGGAGAGCCTTCACGGAACCGCAGCTGCATTGCCCTGCACCAAGAGACTTACCGTGTCAGGGGTTGTCCAGATTCCTTCCCTTTCAGCTCTCCCCTCTCCTCCCACTCCAGGCTGCCTTGAATCTCTCCCTGCCCTACTCCTTTTCCCAGAGCCCTGCTGCGCTTTGCAGAGGAGCTCTTCCTGGGCAGAGCTGTCTCTCAGCAGTGCTGCCTGCTTGCCATGAGCTCCCTCCACCCCAGGAGCCTGTCTCAGCCCAGCAGCAGAGGACCTGCCCAAGGCATCATTGTCTCTGCCTACAGCCCACTCTGCGCTGCCTCCAGGTGTCCCTGGGGCTCACCAGCCCAAGGCATCACTGCTTCTGCCCCCACCCCACTCTGCGCTGCCTCCAGGTGTCCCTGGGGCTCTCCAGGAACCTGCTTGGAAAGAGACTGAAGCAATCACCCATGTTGCCTGCCTCACCTCTGCAGGGACAGCACAGGACCCACAGGAGAGCCTTGTCCCCTCAGAGTGGGTGCATCACAGACACCCATGGCAGCATCTCAGATTAATTGGTGCTTGTGTCAATGTGACTGATTCCCACCCCAGGCGGGGAGATCAGCTCTGCTGCATCCCTATCCGGTAGATGCAAGGCACTGCATGAATAAGCAGCACATTGCACCGGGGTCTCCACTTGTGGGCCTCCTTTCTCAGTTTCTTTTGATTCTCCTCTCTTACATTCTCCTCTCTTACATTCTCTGCTTCCCCTCTTGATGATACAGGTTGGCAAATGTGACACCTATCTACAAGAAGGGCTGGAAGGAGGGTCCGGGGAACTACAGACCTGTCAGCCTGACCTCAGTACCGGGGAAGATTATGGAGCGGTGCATCTTGAGTGTGCTCACCAGGCACATGGAAGACAATCAGGGGATCAGGCCCAGTCAGCATGGGTTCATGAAAGGCAGGTCTTCCCTAACCAACCTGATTTCCTTCTATGACCAGGTGACCCGCCTGGTAGATGAGGGAAAGGCTGTGGATGTTGTCTA